TCATGTTTCGCCGGTTTTAATAAAGTTTGTTTTGTACGCAACGTCGATCCTTAATTGCTCCGATTTAAGTGTTACCCCAATACGTATAACCAAGGCCTTACGCCTTCACAAGGACTTCTATATCACATTAAAAATGTTTTTCTTAACAAGCTGTTGAACGCATGTACCGATATTGTACATCATTGAATTCGTTTCAGAGTCGCCTATAACATTACGTAGAAAAAGTTATACAGTGCCATTTAAAGAAATGAAGGTGATGTAAGGAACGCGAGATTTAGGCGATGGAGTGGTGGCCTGGTCTTTGTCACCTAAGGTCACCGGAAGAGAAAGCACGCGGATACTTGAGGGTGTCATAAATTAAGCCCTTTCCCCGGACAGTTTGGATTAGGAGACTCCAACAGTTTTTCGGAGCGACGCAGGCATAGAACGCGGAAAAGGGCACTCTGGTTATAACCGTTGAACTAGACAGACACCCCGCCATCGCAGTAACCGCGGAAATTGCGAAATAAACATACATTTGCTTAATAGCTAAGATTGTGCTTGTTTTGTTAATTTTGCGTCTTACAGTGACTCCTATTATTTGTAGAAAAACTAGTTTTTTCCCAATTTTTATTTCTGCAATTCACTGACGATCGAGTACTGATGTTTTTTTATTTCAAGCATCTTTTTCTCCTCACACTACCGGAAGTGCCTGAAAAATCGTGATAACTTACGTTGAACACCCTGTATATGTACATACATATTTTTCCATTTTATATTCGAGATATGAATCTTATTCCGTTAAGTTCAATTAGTTTACTTATGATGGAAGCGTATTCATTAATTGAAATTTCGTCGTGTGATTCAAGAAAAATTGCTTGGTCCATTTTTGTAAACGTATTATTCATGGTTATAGCAGCATATGTTTAGGTGGTCATTGATGAATGTGTCTGTTTTAACTATTGGAGGTTCATTGTTTGTATTTAAGGTGAGCTCCCTGTACTGTCAGTCGCTGAAATGATGACTAGTGGGATAGGCACAGAGGCAAGAAGGGTACTCCGCGCGCTCCACCCGATGACCATTCTTGACACTCCCGTAGGCCCCACTACTCGGCTCGAATAACACGCTCTGACATAGTAGTAGAATTCTCGTATTTACGAGGGGCACGGTCTGTGATCTTCCGCGAATAAAACCACAGATATGGGGACCCTACTGTATTGTTAACATAACTTCATTATTTTCCTTCACATACCTATAAATAATTAAATGTATCATTAAGTGGTACTACCTTGATGTATTAAAAAGAAGCATAATTTTTTCATTAGAAAATCACTTATTAATTTTTTATGAAATTTCATGCATCTGAAAATTCAATTTATTTAAAGATAATTCTTAATAATGAAGATATTTGTCGTGTAAAATACAAGAATGTCAGTGACAACTGGCAACTTAGGTGTTGCAACCTCATGGTCACGCAACGAAACTTCGGGCTGGTGGATTATCGTCATAAAATGTTAGTCACATTTGGCCGCCATACAGAGTTTATGCTGATAAAAATGATCATAACCGTTATCAAATTATTTTTAACACAGTAATTTGGGGAGTTCACGACTGAATGAACTTCATGACTGAAATGGACAACTTTTAATTAAAAATACTCTGTGATTACGCTGCTGCATAAAATTATATATATAACACATAAAATTGCTATAAGTGTTATAAAAAGTTAATGTTAATACATTTTTGAACATATGGAAAGCAAGGAAATTTTTAGGTCATGTTAACTCTTTCATTGCTATTGGCGCCTATAGGCGTTTTGAAAATTTGTTTACGCTATATGTTGCAGCTTTGTGGTATACTTCCATCTTAATTTAGTATTTAATTTGATTTTTTACACACATCCATCTTAATTTAATAAACCGAATTTTAAAATGATACGGTCAAAACAACAAATTTTATACCCGTGGTTAAAAATTTACAGTCTGCTATGCTAAATTCATCGCACAGAAAGGGTTAATAGTAGAGGAGAAGGTCTAAATATGAGCTAGTTGAAGTATTGAATATATTAAGTGCGTGACCTTATTGAACATAGGATGAAACTACGATCCCCCAGGGAAGGGGCGGCACCGGGCGTGGTCCTCCGACGCCGCCGAGCCTACGGGCGGAGTTACGGGGAGGGGGCGGTTGTGTAACCGCCTCCTCTGCCGAGGCCGTGGTGCATGCCGTGGCGCGGGGAGGGCTGCAGAAGTCATACAAAGTTACATACGCTCTCCAGCGCGCCCGACGAGGATCACCGCGGGGGTTTTAGTGGGTAGGAATCCCACACTACCCCGCCTTCCTCCCCCAGGGGAGGCGGAGTGTCTTTGGAAGATTTCCCCCGCGTCAAAAAAAAAAAAAAAAAAGAAGGATGAAACTACGATTTATAAACAAAAGAAGTGTTGCGGAGGGGATAATGACCTGTATTTATTTTGTCTTCGTGCTGTGTTGCAAAACGTGTTATTTCTCTTATTTGGCTATTTCAAAACATTTTTCAGGTAAGTCCGTTTTATTGTTTCAGCTATAATCCATTAAACTGAGAGCTAATTAACTAAGAGTACTACATTGCTGACATTGTAAGCTTCTTTTTAGTATAAGTTTTGTAATGAAGATCATAGCGTTGTAATGAATATCATCGCTCTAAACGTTCCTGACCAAATGATCTAAATTTGGGCTACAAAGCTAGTAGCTTTATAATATGGGCTATTATGGACTAGCCAATATCAGAATTCGGTGACTATGAGAATTGTAATAAGAAAAATACCAGAACATTAAAAAGAAAGACATATAAAAGGTATATACGTTTGTGACTATTGTAAATAGATTGTGAATATTGTAAATAGCATTTAAGTTTAAGTTTATCTACATTTTGAACATGTTTTTAAATATTTCAACCTGAAAATATGCAGTTTTTACTTTTCATTTCGATTATTTTACCAGTAATCCATATCTGGACCAGTTTTCTAAAAATGAAGATATTCCCTTTTATTTTAAATATATAATTTGTAATATACATTGCTTTTGTTCAGCTTATTTTGATTTTGTATCATATAGTAAACATGTTATCGATACATATTCAAGTGTTACATCTTAACATTCATGCATAGTTTTGACAATAAATCCTGAAATAAAAGTGGTAGCCCATATTTAGATCTTTTCCTCTAATATTTTGAATTCTATGTTTATGTCAATGATTTAAGGTTCGCTTCATCACTCACTTCTTACTATTTCACTCGCTCTCGATACATTTATTCATTTTCTTGGTCAGGCGGTCAGATTGGCGTAAGTGAGCTGTCGTGTCCTTAACACGAACCACGCGACCGATCACCCCCACCGTTGACTTGCATCGCTTCTATCTACCTACCAATAAGGATTCGCGAAAGAGTCCTTTTTCTAGGAAAGGCATTGATTGGCCCTTTTTCCACATTAGCGGCTACAAAAAGATGTATAAAGGTAGCTTTCGCAAGCCCGAAAGCAGAATATGTACGGAGAGAATGTTTTCTTGGTCAGGCGGTCAGATTGGCGTAAGTGAGCTGTCGTGTCCTCAACACGAACCACGCGACCGATCACCCCCACCGTTGACTTGCATCGCTTCTATCTCCCTGCCAATAAGGGTTCGCGAAAGAGTACTTTTTCTAGGAAAGGCGTTGATTGGCCCTTTTTCCGCATTAGCAGCTACAAAAAGATGTATAAAGGTAGCTTTCGCAAGCCCGAAAGCAGAATATATACGGAGAGAATCAGAGCGTGTACGGAGTGTACATATTAAAAAAAACCGAACAACGTAGTTTAACCTAAAACTAAACAACCAATAGGGAAACATCCATCGTGATATCTTCCAACCGAGAAATAAGATCACGGTAACAAACATGAGCGCTTCAGCAAATAGGGCGTTAGAGCCGAAAATACGTGTGAGAAGAGATGTATCCCCTTCACTCTGACTAATCAGACCCACATTCCTTTGCCTAGTCATCTTCTCAGCGACGGACAGTACTTAGAAGTCTCAATTTCTTGATTCGTAATTAGATTCGCAATCTTTATCTGTCATATATTACCAATGCATTCACAGTTTTCACTTTATGTATGTACGAATTGATCGAATGTATTGATCGAATGACAGAAACAGGTTAAACTACAGCACAATGAAGAACTGTTTACTAGTTATTGGGACACGCAAACAGCAGAAAACATGTAAAATCAGCACGGATACGAGCTGTTCGACAGAAACTGTCTGTGTCATTGTTATTTGATTTTCTTCTATAAAATATATATTTAAACACGGAAAACGTTAATGTTTATAGAAATTAGGAAAAAGATTACATAATGGCATATTAATTCGGTAATAAAAGTTGGTATCTTAGCTTGGGTGTTTCTTCCAATAACATTTTCAGGCAAGAATCATTACAGTGAAAGCAGGTTCACCTTCTGCAATTTTCTTCCAGCAAGATATGAACTTTTATAGATTAAAGGATAGATTTTTCGACGCTATTGTGTCAACTTCCTTGTTCCTATATCTGCTCAAGTACTGTAAATATAAAATTGTCCCTTTACTCATTTACAGTTATTTTCTCAACATGGTATATGTTCCTGAGTACAATTTCAGATATTGCACGGTATTTGTTTTAAATCGATGCATTTCCACGCGTAGCGTTAAGTTGCTATTTGAAATGACAACATTGATTATTGATATATTGATTAATACTAAACAGAACTGTGCACATATTAGGGAACAGTATCTAAATATTACGAATAAAATGATAAAATGTCGGTAGATTTCCTTAAATTTTGTAAAACTTTAATTCAATTAAATACCTGGGAAACCATTCGAGATCGAAATTTAAAATTTAACATAATTCAACTTCTCGAGGCTACCGATGAACGCAGCGAGTGAAAAAGCGACAAGCACGATTCGCATTGTTATACGATTTGATGTGGAATGGCTGGCATGTGTTGTTAATGAATGAAGGAGAAGCCATCGTCTGATTTACCTGTCCTTTCTCGCTGTTTCGTAACTTCGACTCCGTTTCTAACGTGTTCGACATCAGTTGTTGGCGATGCAACGTTACCGTTTGTTGCTTTGGCCGTAGTAATGGTGTCACGGTACAAAATCTCATTTTCCCGGCAAGCGAGCATGCTTACCTGCTTGTTGGACCAGCGCAACTTTGGCTTACCCATGTTGGAATCGAACGGACCGTCTATCACCGTCGTGATGATTGTTCCCGAATCGGCTGTAGGGAATGTGTACATCTCGTTCGTGATTTCTTTACCAGCTTTGAGAGACTTCGCTGACACTTTCGAACTCTTTATTATCAGAGCAGTCGATCTAACCACCTTTGGACTCTTTTCCAGGGCATTTATACGTTGCCTGACGACGTTATCAATGTTATGGCCGACTAACTCCTCCGAGCCTATTACTATTTTCTGACTGTACAACGGTTGCGGTCGATTCAGCGTGCTCTTAGGGTATTTCGTTCTAACTTTCGCACAATTTGTTGTGGTGTTGGAAGTGGTGATGGTAGTGGTGGTGTTGTGGGTGGCTCTCACATGCGTTTCTTTTTGGTCTACTGCTAAACAAACAGAAAGAAAAGGAAAAGACAAATCAACTATCTAAAAAGCCAAAAAAGCGACAATTCTAAATCACTATTTTTGTAAATAATCTATTTATCAATTAATATTTATAAATGACAATTATTTGAAATAATATATAAATCACTTAACGTTGAACCACAACTTACTGTTTCCGTTTGTCTTTTATGCAGAAATTTTAGTTGAAGTTCAGTTATTGCTGTTCAATTTTTCAAATAGTGAAACAAAATATTAAATTATTCATTTTTTTCATACACTTGTAATTTAAACGAATTATTCCAATTAAAAAGATAAATGCCTGGAATATACTTTCAGTATTATATTGTGTCTAACTGAAAAAATTACAATTCACTTAACAAAGTGAAACTGAAAAATATTTCGTACGACAAATGCCATTTAATATTACAGCAATATAAACTGAATATTTTCAAACCCAGACATTTAATGAAACCAAAACAATAAATTAAATTTAATAAACAGGTGTGCATACTTTTGTGGCAGAGAATACTGAAGATTATAACAATATGTTTCTTATGTTTTACTACCATAACAGAGCTTCATTCATAAGTGAAATATTGTTAGTTATGATATCGTTGAACATTGTTAATTGCCCTTAAATATATGAATAACAGTTTATTCACAATACTATACCTATTCTTATCGTGCGAGATTGGACTAGTCAAACATTATTCATTTCTAGATGCAAGGCTCTCGAAACAAGTAAGTGACATTAGGGAAAAAGCATTCCAAGGGAGAAGTAAGCAAACACATTATTCTTTCGAACCAACTAATAAATACATTCATTGTTAAATGATCAAAATGACATTGCGTAAAAATTAATCAAGAAAAAGTTCATAGCTCTATATTGAAATAGAAAAATGATAAAAGAATTGATATGAGGATTTAGTTCTGGTATTTAAATAACAAAAATGTGTGTAAAATAACATTTTTCTATTTCATTTAAAACAAGAGAAACAACGAGTTTTGTGTATATCACATTCAGAGTTCATTAATATAATATCATTGATAACTTACGTTTGCCTTTCTTTCCGATACTAATCATTAATGGAATGAGCTTTTATAATATTATGAATAATGAATAGAAGATAATAATTAACAAAATGTAATAAGATTGCAAAGGACAATTGGTTTACTATAATACCATTGAGAAACATAGTTTAATTTTATGGTATGATCAATTTTACATGCAAAAAGAAATAATAATATACTGAGTGAGTCAATAAGGATTGCTATCTGAAATAACTCTGAAATAAATTTATTGATTTTATCGAGAAATGTTTTATGCAAAATACGTTGTATTCGATTGAGCTTATCGAATGGATGCATCCTGATTTTTTTACGTCAAGGTGACGTAAAAATTAAAATATTAATGCTGCATTAAAAAAAATATGCGGTCCCATTTAAAAATTTGAAGGTCACCTTGATATGTTAGACAATTAAGGACATAAAAAAATCAGTATGCATCCATTCGATGAGCCCCATCAAATATAACGTATTTTGTATAAAACAATTTTTGATAAAATCAATAAAGAACGATTTATTTCAGATGGCAGTTCTTATTGATTCACTCGGTATATTATACAGGGTGTTCGATAATTGACGGGAGAAAATTCGCTAAAATATCTCTGAGGTTCGGTGAACCACTACATATGACTCATGACTCACAGCTAGTAGCATATCTCAGAACATCTACAGAAAAAGAAAATATCGTTGCGGCGTTGTTTCTGTCGGTAACGGCACTCTCGTCTCCTAATGTCATACACCAGCCGGTGTGTAGTGGTTAGTCCAACTTCAAGAATATTTTAGTCCATTTCTTGACTGCTTATAACTAAAGACCAAAGTCTCAAACACAATTTCGTTATTCTTAATTTTCGTCTTATTTTGGCTTGGCAGAATTATCTCTTCAAATTTCTGCCATCAATTGCCGAACACCCTGTACATACATATTGTCCGGCAAAGCAAATCTGAAGTCTCAGGCGTGACTTAGGGCCTTGAAGTAGGAGATGTAGGGGAACTTGTGACGACTCGCTATTAGTAAGCCAATAGCGATAGAATAAGGCTATCGCAGTTACTCTTAGGTCTTCCCTTATAGTCAGCCAATCACTGTAGAATAAAGCTATCGCACTTACTCTTCTGTGAACAATAGATGACGATCGAGTCTCGTTCGGGCAGTCGGTAAACAGACGAGCAGACGATAATTGACCGGAATAATAATTTCGAGCACTCGAAAAAAAATTAAGTTTACGTCGCGCAGACACCATAAACAGGCGAACTGTACATCAGATGCCTGAGCGACGCCAAACGACGCGCATCATGGTAAACTTTACTTTTTTTCCCATGTTCCCAAAATTTCTCTATCATTTTGATAAGCTTATTTTACAGGTTAAAATTCAAGCAAACCAATGATATTTTTTACAAATTATTCTACGGGTGGGAACAATGACAAATCAGCAATTGAAACTTTAGCAGCGATTACTGTTATGTTCGCTAATAATAAATAAAATTCTGTATATATATATTCAGAAAGGGTATTTTTTTACCTTTGAAATGAGCCCAAGGTCGAAATATTATCTTTAAACAAAGCTGAAATATTACGGTTAAAGTGATGATATGTTGTCTGATTTCGTCAAATTTTTCAAAACTTTAACATTAAATAGTGGCTGCTTGGTGACTTTTATTGGCTGTAAAAAGTGGCTGTCGGTCTGTGGTGGCACGCTATTTTTCATTGCAGCCAGAAATTTTTTAACTTCATAAGCATTTTTTTGGTGTGCTGAAATCTACTTTTATTATTCAGGAATAGCAAAAAAATATTTACATTTCAGTTTTCTATCTGTTAAAAAATATTAATACATTTCCTGTGGTTTCCTGTATTTGGGATGACCTGACCCGTTGTGGTTCAAGAGTATTTGGAATGACCTGACCCGCCTATTTCGCCTTCATCTGGCCAGGCGATGACGTCAGAGACTTCAGGTTTGCTTTGCCGAACAATATGTATGTATAATATAATAGATAAAATAGTGACCAATTATAGACCTAATATAGTTGGTATTTTTGCTATTACCGCTTCATGGAGAGACTCCCACAGGCGCCGACGAAAACGCACCTTATAATCCAACGCGCATCGCAATACGCAGGTTGAATTGCTACAAAAAGGCAGGCAATGCGACAGCGGGCAAAGCACAGAAAAAAATTTCTCGAAAAGGATAGTATTCGACACAGATACTTTCTGGTCGTTACAATTATTATAATTCGATTACGTTTATTGTTATTGCTATTCAAATATACAGAATGTTCGTATACATAAGGTACTAAATTGGAAGAATAATTCCTGCAGAAGTGATTCCATTCTAAGACGAAAGTCGAGAGTAACAAAATTGCAGGTTTTGTTAATTGGGTAATTAAAATCTGTGCCTGAAGCAGGCAATTTTTGTACGTCGGCCTAGGCTAGGCAGCTACGGTCCTGCCCAGCCTGGATAGGTGGCTGGGCAGGACCTACGATGGACTCACGTACGATTTGGCACAGGTGCTTACTGGACATAGATGCTTCGGTGAGTACCAGTGCCGAACCGGGAAGAAGGCGACGACGCGGGTGCCACCATTGCGGAGCAGAAATTGACACTCCCCAGTATAAGCTGGAGGAGTGTTCGGCGTGGGGCCACCCGAAGCTAGTCCTCCGGGGTGTCGTTGGAGGGGAGGGACCAGTAGTGTGCCGCGGCCTCCTGCGAAACAATTATGTTGCAGAAGAATGCCGCGGAGCGGATGCGCGAAACAAGTGACCCCACGAGGTTGGTACGGCCACTCCCTCCGTCATGATAGCAGCGGCGGTGTCCTTAGTCCCCCCAATGGCGCCGCTGTTAACAATGAGGTGTTGCAGGTCCCACTTTCCCGATTAAGGGGAAAGGGGGGGCCTGTGGGAACCGCAGATGGCCGAGTGGGGGCCATTGCACGCGGTCCCCGGAATTGGGCGGAGCGGGGCGCACTCCCCTGTTCCGCCGGAGTTAGGAGGACAAGGGAGGCGCAGATGCCCGACAAGGGTAGCCCCATGACTTTATTGGGTAAGAATCCCACACTACTCCGCCTCTCTCCCCAAGGAGAGGCGGGATGTCTATGCAAGATTCTCCCCATGTAAAAAAAAAAGGCTAGACAGTCGCGCGACGAATAGGTCAGTGCCGTATCAAGCGAAAAATGGCACGTTTACCTGGTAATAGAAACTATCGCAGGTGTCAACACAATAAAAAGTCAACGTGAATCATAGAACAACATTATAACTGCGCACTCGCAGAAATCGAGTAAAAGATTTTATCTTTTAAGAAAAACCTTTTCGTGCCTGTCCTGTTCCCGCATAAGCAGTATTTCAGTACTTTGTGTTTCAAGCGCAGATTTTTATTGTTAATAACTAAATAACGATGCCTCGGACACACTTTCGTCACTCTTATTCTTCGACTTAAAATGACTTTTGGAATCACCTCTCCAATTTACTACTTAAGGTAAGTAGCCAAACACCCTAAATATTGGAGATTAAATGATTAACATTCAAAGCAATTTGCTTAATTTCCAACATAAAATACAAAAAAATATGATACACCCCCATGTAAAAACAAAAAGGCTAGACAGTCGCGCGACGAATAGGTCAGTGCCGTATCAAGCGAAAAATAGCACGCTTACCTGGTAATAGAAACTATCGTAGGTGTCAACACAATAAAAAGTCAACGTGAATCGTAGAACATCATTATACCTGCGCACTCGCAGAAATCGAGTAAAAGATTTTATCTTTTAAGAAAAACCTTTTCATGCCTGTCCTGTTCCCGCATAATAAGCAGTATTTCAGTACTTTGTGTTTCAAGCGCAGATTTTTATTGTTAATAACTAAATAACGATGCCTCGGACACACTTTCGTCACTCTTATTCTTCGACTTAAAATGACTTTTGGAATCACCTCTCCAATTTACTACTTAAGGTA